AAAAAAAAACCAGTGCAGAATGCACCTGGCTTCCCTAGAACCCAGGGCAACTGGCAGCACGGTCTCTGCCCTACCAACAGAAGCACTGCCTGGCAAATTTAGGATGGAGACAACTTTTCTGCTGCTGGTGGCACAGGAGATGATGGCAAAATGATGGTTCCTCCACTAGTCATAAGTCTTTCCACTCCTCCCCACCCCACAAAACCTAGGCCCAGGGAGTAAAAATAAGAATGAACGCTGCACCCGGATGCATAGTTACAACAAAATAACCCTCAGAACCAAGAAAAAAACCCACACAGGCAAGAGAAATGCTGCTTTTACAGAGAGAGAGGCTGGGAACCACCCACATATTTGTCATTGTAGGCAACAAATTTGGCTGTCTCAGGAGAAGCCTACCTGCCAGATACGCCGCCCTCGCCCTGTCTCAACCTACCCACCCCTCACCACCAGCAACGGGGTGGTCCTGTCCCTCCTGCCACCTGATGGCACCTGGGGAAGGTGCCCCAGATGATCCTCTTTGTGGGAAGGGTCCCCTGAGGTGGCTGCAAGCTGAGGACAAGCTCTGCTTGGCTCTGACCTGCTCCAGCTGTCCCTGTGCAGGGGTGGGGGGTGTGCAGAGCCCTGGCCCCCATTTCCGCACCCCACGGCCCTGCTGAGGAGATTGCAGAAGTCTGGAGAGTTCATTTAGCAACTGAAGTCATTAAGGAATCACACTCAGTTGTCTCCAAGCCCTAACAAAGCCAATTCCCAACATTAATGATTCCTCTTCCTTATGCTGTCAGCCACTAAATATAGCTGCCCATCTACTCAGCACACAGTGCTGATATTATCTGCTCTGTTTTTACTGGCTCTGCTGCTCTCTGGAAGTTTTCTCTTCTATCAGTGGAAAAGTTTTCTGCTCAGGGAGATGGAAAAAAAAAAAATCCATCTTCTTAACTTAATAATTTTTCCACTCCCTTTTGCCTTCCACCACACACAAACACACACACACTTGCCCTTCCTCATTTATTCACTAGGGCTTTTGTCTTAATAAGGAAATACCTGCTGGTGTTGCTGTCAGGTTTGTGGGTGCTGTGGACACTGGTCAGTGGAAACCTTGTTTAGTCCCTGCAGGGAGGATGATTTCATGTGGGTGTGCTGCTGTGCCTGCAGCTCCAGCCTGGCCAGGTACAGCCCCCTCCTCTTCCCCACAGGGAAGACTCTACAGGGACCAGTTTTGGAGCTGTGCAGGAGGAATCAAAACCCCAAAGAAGTCTGAGAAAAAGTCATCTGGGGAAAAACAGGGAGAACACCCTTTCCAGAGAGCCTTTTAGAGGGCTGCCTGCTTTGCTCTGCCACTGCTGTGTCACACCTCACGTCGCTCTCCGAAACCACTCACATCAGCTGCTGGGGACAAGGAGCACAGCTGGACTCTTCCTAGATGGCACAGGTCAAAGTCAGTATTACACTCATGCAGTCTGAATGCCACAGCACCAGTGTCAGCCACAACCCCTCAACTGCTACCTGTCCATTCTCCAGGAAGATATCCCTGCCTTGATTTCAGGATGGCCCGTGGGGGAGACTCCACCGTTCCCAAAGGCAAATTCTCCCCACAGTTTGTCCCCAAGCTCTTTGGAATATGTCTCTTATTTTTAACCTCCTATTTCTCTAACTCCTCACTTCCAGCCAGCTGTTACACCTTTTCTTGAAGGGTGAGATGCATAACCTCTCCAATGCAGCACAGTTTAAGTACACTTGACTGGTCTTGTAAGATCCCGACCCACCAGCTGAAAGATATTCCACCCACACGATTCTCTGATTTGCCTTGTGATCCTGGAGCCTGCAAGGTGCACATTTTCAGCTTTGCTCCCAAGCCAGGAGAGGAAGGATTTGCCATTATTTTTAATGGCATCTGACATTTTCAGCTCATTATGTAATTGCAGGAGTGGGGGCTACAGAACATCTCAATCCTTCCCGCACCATCTTTCCTCTCCAGCTCCCTTTTGCTCTCCTGCCAGGGATGACTTCTCCTCCTTTTATCCTCTCCTTCTGTTGGGCACTTTTGTCTTTCCCCCATTTTAATTACCATCTTGTGGTCTCCTCATCTTCACTTCTTCATCTTTTCCCTCTGTATCTTGCTCTTTCTTTAGTCACTCCCACCTTTTCCTGCCTGTGAGCCAGGGAAACCTTTTCAACCTTTTGCTGCAATTGCTTCTGTGCTGTGACCAGTGCTAGGGTGCCCTCAGAGGGAGCTAGCACGGGTGGGAGCCCACTGGCACCAGCTGCTGAGCTGCTGTGTGAAGGGGAGGTGAGCCTGTCACAGCATCTGCCCGTGGTGCCCAGGGGCCTCGCTGTGCTTGGCACAGCAAATGCTGTCTCCACCCAGCCAGTGTGCCCTGGAGAACCAGATGGGGAGCCCAGAGGCATACAGGCAGCAGAACATGGGATGAAGATGAAGAGGAACAACGTGAGTCAGCAGCACTTTGGGATAGACAATGTGAGGACCCTGATGGAGGCTCAGAGGGAAGATGATGTGCGTGTTCCTAGCCCCAAAAGACAAGGATGGATTCCACAAAATAGGCACCAGACCAGGCCCAGGAAAACAGAGTGATGGTGTAAGTAAGGAAGGGTTGTGAGGCTTTAAACTGCCCGCTGAGAATACTGAAGCAGCTTTTCAGTAACACCACAAGCCTGAGTAGCAGATAAATAACCAGCCTACAAACAAGCAAACCACCATTCCTCGTTGTTCCAGTGTGGGTATGGCTGTAAAATACAGTGTGACACCCTGTGTGTGTCCCTCCTGTTGGAAATGCTCCGCAGCCTGTGGCTTGCCCCAGGGATGGAGCTGTGCCTGGGACTTCAGTCTTGGTGTCTGCTTTTTCTTTATTGCCACACTTCCCAACACACATACCCACCAGAGCCAGCTCTGCCCCACACAGGAAGGCAGCTGCTTCTAGGGTAGTGCCCAGCCAGCAGAGCAGGGACTGGCAAGAGTATGGATATCACGTTCAAGTGAAAGCAAAGGGTGAGTGGACCAAACTGGCAAAACAACTTTCACAGTTAAGGGAAGCCCCAGGTTTGCTCTTCATCACAACACAACCCCCAAACGCATTCCTGAAGAGGCAGGCAGGACAACAAAATCCAAAATCAAAACATAGGGGAAAAAAAAACTCAGACTAAACCCATCTTGCCCCCAAAAAGCAGATAGCTTTTCCCACTGCAGAGCAAGACAAACAGCATCCCTACTGACTGCTCAAAGAGCGAGGCAGTTTTTCTGAGTTCCTCACCTTTTCTCTTACTCTGTAGGTTTGATTAGAGAAATACTGGTTTCTATCCTCCAGGCCAATATTAAGTTATCAAATGTACCATTTCACCTTGTTTTCCTTTTATTGACTGTCACCTTCAGAGCTCCTCATGGCAGTTTGCTCTCCCACTTGTACCTCCCAGCTCCCTTCCCTTTCCAAGCAGACCAGCCCCATCCTCCTTCACCAGCTGCTCCAACACCACCACTGCCAGAGCATTCATGAATTAGGGGACAACCACACTAACTCATTGCCACCTCATTTATTTTTAATAAAATAAAAGTGGCCTTTTAATTGGCCACTGGTTTTTCATTTAAGTCAGCTGATAACTACCCTTTACTCCTCAGCCTTCCCGTTTTGGGTTCAGCTGCTCCTCAGGAGGCTGGGTGCCTCATGATGGCAGGTTTCCTAATGCTATTCAGCCCCAAGACAGAGGGACTTGTCTGCTCACCAGCAGGGAGCCAGGGCCACCTCTGGCTGCTGCAGCAGGGGAGGTTTAGCACACCCTTGCCATTTCACTGCTCAGAACATTTGCTCTTTGTACAAGCACACACATAGCTTTCCTTGGATGAAAAAGCCCATGCCAGCAGAAAGAAACCACCAAGAGAAGTGCAGTTTTACCTGGAAAGTTGTTCTCACCTGGGAAAGCTGTGATGGGTTCTGCAAAGGAAAAAAACAAAACCTAGTATTAGAGAAGGGAGTATAACACAGAAAGTCATGGTTCATCTCTCCATTATCTGCAGTGGCCAAGCAGAGCAGCCATGCAGCTGGTGACCCACAGAAGCCACTTGCTGGGAACAGCTCAGGCTGTCACCAGGACAGGGAGAAACCCTGCCTCAGCTAGGGGCTGACCAGATGCAATGAGCTTTGACTCAGACACAGACTTCAGAGAAAAGTATGCCCAAGGCTGGGGTTCATTTGTGTTCAGCTGGCTGGCCTGAGGCACCCAAAGACAAAGCTTCTCCTGGCCCAGTGATGAAACCCTGAAATCTCCTAGGATTTCCAAGAGCAGTTTGGTTTCTGGCTCAACTCTAGCTGAGTTATTCACATGGGAAGTGTGTCACTCCTGGGCATCGATGCCATGCTCCTCTCCAGCTCACAGCAGCAAGAAACAAAGCCAAGTGATTTTTTTTTCCCTTCTTTCAAGATACTTTGAAGAAGTAATCTATTACAAATTACTGGATCTGAAAAGCAATAATTGGTACTTATTACTGATTACTTTCTCACAGAAGTAATAGACTTCTGATTATTTTTAGATTACTTCTGCATTATGCCTGTGAGTCACAGCAGCAGACTCTGGCTCTGCTGAGTGCTAGGAAATCACCACTCAGGTTCAGAATGTGAACGACACATTTGTCAAAGGAAAAAAAAAAATTATTGTGACTTATTAGCGTTCTTTCACGCTAAAAAGCAATCAGATTACTTCTAGATTACCTCTGAAAGAGCAGCAGCCTGTGCTGGAGTCAGCTATTCTCATGGCTCTGACAGAGAGAGCAGCACTGTATCTCTGCTGCTCCATTATTGCTCTGGTGACATTGGAAATGACCCGTGAGTTATGTTGAAGTCTGCAGTGGGAGCCCTTTGCTAGAAATGATCCGAAACAAACTGTCCTTATTGTTTTTCAGGTTCCCATTCAGCTTCCCAGAATGGGACAAATCCTTTCTTGTAGCAGTTGGGTGTTATTTTTAGGGTTGGCAACATTTGAAACTTTATCATTTATTCCTGCTTTTGTTTGGAAATATTAAGCTTTAGGTTCCTGAGGCCCAAGGTACAGGAACACTGGAGCTAGGTGAATTGCTGAGCTCAAAAGAAGTTAGATAGAAATGCTATTAGTGTTAATCATCAGTCTTGCTTCTCTTTAATGCCATAGAAGGCAAGGGATTGAGCCACCACTGTCAAGCCTTAAATACAGGGAGTTTGAGTCTTAAGCTTCTTTGGTAGATGGGAGACCAGCAGAGTTCAAAGCATCACAGAAACTGGGACTGATGGCACTCAAGAGCAGCTCTGGGGCAGTCCCAGTCTTCTGTTCTACTATTAATGCTGGTTCCTCCATCATCAGCACCATCACCTGTCTACACAGGGCAGCAAGTGACCCAGGCAGCCCTTCCCTGGCACAAACTGTCCTGTGCCTCCTCCCCTGAGATATGACCCTCAGAAGAGTGCCTGTCTCTCCTGGGTTAGAAGGCATCAGGATGCTCCCCTTCCTTGGTGGGGAAGAGGAGAGCAGCTTTACTGAATGGGGCCTTTCAGAGCCCAAAGGGGAGAGGGGCTCTGCTCCACCCAACTCTTTCCATCGACTTCAAGATGGGTCAGACACTCTGTGGGTGTTTAAGAGTGAAACACACCAACCCCAGGCCCCACAGAAGACCCCCAGGGGCAGCTCCCAGCACAGATCCCATCAATTGAATCCTGCTGGTCCCACACTCAACTGGCATGGCTCTAAATCCACAGCCAAGCTAGATGGCAACCAGAGCCACTGATGTGCAGGCATGGATACAGCAGCTGGAGGAACAGGGCAGGGCAACAGCTCCACCAGCAAACTGCTAAACACACACTGCTTTCAATCTTTTGGGTTTATTTTTAAAGTTCTCTCTGTCGTTCACGTTGAATGAATTCACCTGGCTTTTGGCCTGGTTGGGGGAACAGAGAATTCTAGGACAAAAATTTCCTTTGTTATTCTGTTAACACTGCTGTAAAATCCCTCTGCTATTTTATTTCTTATTAGAGAAGACTCCTTTTGAACTCATTGGCCCCTCTAAGCATGTAATACTGACTGACAGCTGGTTTCCTTTGTCCAGCACTTTCCTTTCAAATTTGGTGTCTGTCCTTATCACGTAGAATAGTCCTTGGCAACCCTCAGCTGTTCTTACAGCTTTGCACAGTGGGAAGAAGTCCTGCCTGCCCCTCACAGCAACACAGCCAGAGCTGGGGGACAACACAGTCCCCCTCATTGCCTTCCTGGGCAAGAGCAGTCCCAGGTGAGATGCAGAGAGGCGGTACCTGGAGCAGGGCAGCAGTGCCCCCCTGGCAGCCCCTGAGTGAGGGCTCTGCAGCCCCAGCTGCCCCCCAGCCCCTGTGCCCAGCCCCTGTGCCCAGCCCCAGCACGTACCCATGCAGTTCTCCAGGGGGATGTCCATGCCCAGGTGGATGTCATCCAGGGCCAGCTCTCCCGAGTGCCCGCTGCGGATGAACCCCTCAAACACGATCTGTGAGAAAGCCCAACAGCAGAGTCAGTGTGGAGCTGGGAGGCAGAGCGTG